ACACCCCCAACTCCTCAACCCTAAACCCTAAGCCCTAAACCCCAAACCCTAAACCGGAAAAGCCTTACACCCCAAACTCCTAAAGCCCTTCACTCACAGGGGTGCGCCCGGGGCAGCACAGGGCAAAGTCGCCTCGAAGGCGCCCCCGGGCGCCGCGAAGGCAGGGGGTTTCGGATACGTTGCTGGGGTTTTGGGGTTTTTCGTTAGGTTCCTTGCGATCTACGAATATTGTGCTATGCTTACAATTATTAACCCCCCCCCCCCGAAAAAATAGATCATTGGTGATTGCTTACCTCCAGCTTCCAACTAGCCCTGGGCTCGTTGATCCCTCAGTTCGGGCTTACGATTGCGGCCCTGCTACAAGGGTCTGAATAACGATGTCATATACCCCGCCCAAGCCTCCCAAAACCCAATTATGCTTATCAAGGCCCTTTTGTTAGAAAGCTAAATTCCTGAAATCCTTGTCCCTAGACCGAAAATCGAGAATCGTGGAGAAGCCTCGGGCTGCTTCGGAAGGGGTACACCTTATAGCACTCTTCGTAGAGCCCATTATAGAGCCTTCAGAATATGCTTATAGCAACCCTCATAGTAACCCTTGTAGATACAGGAACCCGTAAAGGAACCCTTGAAAGAGCCCTTGAGTATTTATCGAAATCCCCTTACAAGACTCCTCAAGCCAGAGTGGTCCACCTCGATCAAGGCAAGGACTACCCGGCCCTGCTCGGGCGCCGATTGGATGGCCAGCTGAGAGACGCCTGCCGCATCCTATGCCAGTTCCGAGGGTTGACGTCCAGGCATGTCAAGGGCCCTACAGCCACCATCGTGACGCCAGAACTCTGGCAGAGACGAATCAGACTCCGATCCGTTCTAGACGGAGTTGATCGCCCAGAAGTGAGCTTATGCATGGGCACTTCGCGGCGAATTTCATCGATCGCACGCTCAGTAGTGTCTCGAAGGGGCTTCAAGAATTAGAATAGGGTATTGGGGTATCTTATGGTATCTTCTGCTATGAGCATCTTAGGCTTCAATAACGCGAAGACGGTATTGGGGTATGTTAAGTCACAAAGAAATTTTAGGGAATGCTGAGGCCTAAAGGAATCATCTACTATTGAGGCTTCTGTGTTGAACCACCAAGGGTTTTTAGGTTTTTTGATTGCAGGGGGCAGGGGGTGGGGTTGAGGCTTTTTAGGATTTCAGGGTTTAGGGGTTCGCTTTTGGATTCTAGGGCGTTGATGGTGATTCAAGCACAACCCTAAACCCACTGTTGAAACCCTACGGTTGATGATATAAATCCTGCATTACCCATAATAAGGAATATACCATAATTCCCAGAGTTTAGGGTCCTTAAGTTAATGCAGGATTATCATCAACAGTATTTTGCAGGCCTTTTTGTTCAAAAGACTCCGAAATACGATACCTCCACTTTCAACGTTGAAGGCTCCGAACCCCAAATCGCGGGTTTAGGTCGGGTCACAGGCCTTCGAGGACTAATTAGGGTTCAGGGTTTAGGGTTTAGGGTTTAAGGTTTAGGGTTTGGGGTTTAGGGTTCCCCCTAAGACCCCTTAAAGGGGTTCGGGCGTCGAGCTCGGGGTTGTCACTTCGAAGACTCGGAAGCACGCAAGTCCCTGCGTGGGCTCTTCTTTTGGGGGTTTATAAGAGGGTTTAGAATTTCAGGATTTATGGTTCAGGGCTTTGGGGGTCTAAAGATTTAGGGTTTAGGGTTTAGGAGGATTTTCGGTTCAGGGCTGTGAGGGTATTAAAGTTTTAGGATTTAGGCTAGCCTATAGGGGCATTGTAAAGGTTTTATTGAGTTCGTTGGGTGTAAAGATTACGGCTAAGGGCCACGGGGGGCTCAGGGTATTTGGGGCTTCGGGCTTAGGCGCAAGGCGTCAGGTCTATGGTGTAGGTAGGGCTTACGCAACGTTCCAGGAGCCACCGCCGCGGCAGGCACTGGTTTTTGTTTTGGTCGGGTCAGGGGTTTCGTAATTGGAGTTCAATAGAAGCTTGAAGAATAACCATTACTATTTCCTAGGGCTCCTTATTATGATTATAGCATAGACGCCGCCCTCCGCCAACCATCAAGCTCTTCTACTCTATTGCCCGTACAGGGTAAACCATGCCGAATATAAGCTCTAAGCCCTAAACCCTAAACCCCTAAACCGTAAACCCTGAGGTTTAGGATTCCGGATTTGGGGATGGGGTTTGGGGTTAAGGGTCTTGGGTTGCGGGTTTAGGGCTCGAGTGTCCCGGGTTCAGGTTTAGAAGTTGAGGGCCGAAGTTGGGTAGAAGTCAAGGCTGTCGGGCGGGTGTTTTCGGAGTTGCGGGATTGACGTGCAAGTGTCCCATTGAAGCTTCCCCGATGGTGTCGCTGTTCCGCACGATCACCAGGGTTGCATGTTTGGGGTTTCGGGTTCAGCAAGGAGAAAGCATGATTTGTACAGATGCTATCACTGACATCTACCATCTACGCCAACAGCGAAGTTATCGGCACCATCAACGCGCCGAACGCCTTAACTGTGCAGCACGAGATCCCCAAACCGCAACCATAATCCGTAAAATTAAGGAGACGAGCCCAACAGGAAGTGCCGATGATCAAGCTGCACAGAGGTTCGCAGAAACCCTACAATATGGAGGTCTGAAGAAAAAGTAGTAATTCTCTTCCCGTGCAGTCCCTCTCTATAGACCCTAAACCCTAAACCCCAAATCCCTAAATTATAGAACTACATTATGTCCCGATGGCACTGGAGCTCTGGAGTTGCGGGCGGGAGGGTCCTGGATGATGTCAGACCCTTACTAAGTAGAAACGGCTGAGGCTTGAGAGTTTTAATTTAGGGGTACCATAGGGCCTAAACAGTTTATAACTACTCCTCTTAGGCTTTCTATGCCGGTTTTCATCGTTTTCTTTGTTACTGTAGGTTTTATGGATTGGTTCATAAACTTCACACAGGACTACACGGGGGATTTTTACTTTAATACTCGTTCTGCAAACTTCTAAGTTAGGGCCGGGCCCCTGAGCCCAACCAGTCGAGCCTTAAGCACTACACCCTGGAGCCTAGAAGCGAAACACCTTCGGGGCTTTCGAAACCGTAAAAACAAGCCTGAAAGATCCGACCAGACGAAGCAAACTCCATCCAAAACCCTACCAAACCCGAAGCAACCGAAAAAGTTCCCATTAAGAGACAAGGGGGTTTCGTCCCACAAATTGAAATTGTCAGGCGCGCTCTGCGCAGGCACGAGACACGTCCCGTGATCGCTTCGTTAGGCTTAGGATTTGGGATGTTTGGGGTTTTGAGCATTGTAGAGCATTGTAGGATTTGGGGGTTTGGAATTGGGGCTTCGAGTGTGGGATTTAGGGATACGGGTTTTGGAATTTAGGTGTTTAGGGTCTCGGGAAGTGGGTTGAGGGAAGTGTTTATAGGGACCTGAGGCTAAATTCTAACATTCAGGTTCACACATATACATGTATATATATATATATGTATCTATATATATGTATGTATGTATGTATGTATGTATGTATGTATGTATGTGTGTATGTATGTATGTATGTATGTATGTACATGTGTATAAGTATATGCACACGTACAGTTTTTTGTGTAGAGAGGGCCCATAGGATTTCTAGGGTTTGGGGTGTGTGTGTGTATATACATATATGTATGTACATAGAGGGTTCGGGATGTATGTAGGGAGCTCATAGATGGAAGTTTGGGTAGGTAGCTAATTAGATGCAGGGAACAACTAAAGGCCAATGACAACTACTTTGTATTTACACCAACGCACATGGTGTTGCGAGTGTAGATGTCAGCTAGGTGCATTGCAGACGGATAGGTATATAGATCGGGTGTCAGCTACATAACCTCTCGCTCTCTCTGTATATATTTACATACATACATGCATACATACATACATACATACATACATACATACATACATACACAGTTACACATATAGCTACACATCCAGGTTGATGGCTTATTTGATGGGCTGACATTGCCATTATTAGCAACATCAAGCGTTTTTCTGGCTGAAACCGACATGTTGAGTGCTTAGGTGTTGTGGTCCATACGGTTTTCCTCGAACTGAAAGGCGCGCGCGCGTCATGATAATCTTTCAACCCAACAAAGCCACAACCGCTTGAAATTGTAGACAAACTTTTCAAGCCCTGTAAAATTTCCAAACACCCGACAACCAATTATCAAACAACACGCTATAAGCCCCATAAAAAAAGACCCACCTCAATCAACAAGGCTCTATATTATCAGCCTTCAATTATTCTTCGATGTAACCTGTCAGTCGGCGCAGTCGCAAGGATCGGCCACCGAGGCGGAGAGTGGTCACTATGGTTTTAGGGGTGTCGGAGATCAGTGCTTTAGGGTTAGGGTTTGAGGGTTGTTTGAGGATTTAGGGTTTGCTAAGTTTTTTGGGGTTTAGGGCCCCTACACTAAGTTGTGCTTTATTCAATACCTCCGAATCCGTAATTCGCCTGGGAGAAGGGCTGATCCTTGTTACTTCCATGCAAAGGTGCCAGGAACAAGCCGGCGAACCTTCAACGGCCCTAAACCCTTCTGATCCCTGCTTGAGAACCGTGGCACTTAATACGCCATGCGTGTCACGACGTTTACGTGCCACAGGTGCCTGTTCGAATGGGCAGTTTTGCGACGTCACTCTGAAGCTTCAACCTTCAAGTGGCGGAAAATGCACTTTCAAAAACACTCGTGATAACCCTTTACTCTGAACCCAAGCCCTAATCAAGGGGCACCCATGACGTTTCGTCTTCGGGCAGTTGGCGTTTGTTGGCATTTGGGGTGGGTTGCTTGGGTGGAAGTTTAGGCAGGGACGGTTGACGGGTGAACCTTCGGGTATGCGCATTAAGGGTGGCGGGAAAGAGGGGAGCGTGGGGTGCAGCCCTTTCCTTGAGATCCAACAAGGCGCCGGCGGACGCTCAACCCTAAACCTTCAGACTTAAAGCCCCCAAGCCAAAACCCCTACACAGGACCTGGATGCAGGGCAGTTGCGGATTGGAAGACGGAAGAAGCTGCCTCAGCAGCTGCCATCAGAGAGGTTCACGAAGAGGCCAGAGGTACGAAATTGGCAACTCGGCAGGGGTTAGGAGACTGTAGCTGTTTTTTCGTTGCGGTCGTATAAGGCTCTAATTCCCATAATTGGGGACCTTAAGAATTGGAATAGGGTGCCGGGGCAGTAAACATGCTTCGGGTTTATAAACGGAGTATGCTATTACTTTTTTAGTCTCGGATCCGCGGTTGGCCTAGTAAGAGGTCCATTAGTACAGAAAATCTAAAGAATAGATAGATCGGTTCAGGTACCATGTTGAAGTGATGGTTCCTAGACGGCCTTACAGCGCTATGCAGGTTTCTAGGCCTAGGCACCCTGTTCTTTAGGCCTTAACAATTGCTAGGATCCCTATTGTAACGCTTATTGAAGACAGAGCCCAAAGCCCTAAGCCCTAAGAGGTTTGCATTACTTTTCGTTCCGTGGGATCCTGATGAGGAGACGATAGTCGCTGGTTTCTGGGGTTTGATGGTTGAGGGTCCAGGGTTTGAAGCTTCCTTACTTTAACAATGACAAGGATTACAATCAACAACTGAAATGTAAGGGTGCCTACAAACGCTTGCATAGCGGTGTAACTGGCTGTGAGGAGAAAGAAACATCCTACAGTAGTAGGTCCTAGTAGGTTGTGGTGTAAGCAAGGATTCTGTGGAGCTGAAAAGGGGGTGCGAATAATTGGTAGTAGCATCCCATGCTCGTCCTGGCATAATGGAACTACATTTAACTTACCACAAAGACCCAATTCTCTTTAGTAAGGCTCATGCGAGACATCCCGAATTGAAAGTCCTTGAAGAAAACCGATGACAGCGAACCCCTAAACTCCACAAGCCCTAAACCCCGAACCCTGAACACTAAGCCCTAAACCCTAAAGCCATAAAACCTAAGCCCCCAGGCAGGCCATCCGGACTCTACTTCTGGATCGGGATAATGATCACATCTGGTCAGTCCCGAAACCTCACCATGATCCACGGTCGCAGCCACGGGCAGAGCTGCCGCTGGGGGAAGAGACGCCGGAGTCGGAGGCGGTTTGGGGTTTGTTTTTTTTTTTTTTGGGAATTTCGTGGTTCGGTTCTAGATTCGGGTTTAGGGTTTGGGGAAGGTTTTTCCTGCGCGGTTCCGGGAGTTCCACGGGGACTAAAGCTTCTTTCTTAGGGGTTCGGAGGGTTTAGGTTATGAATGAGAAATGCAGGAGAGTGTGGCCTGTTCCACTCCGCGCCTTTAGTTTATAGCCTAAGGCTTCAGGCGTAGACCACACAAGGGTCGCCAACCCAGGCACAAGGTTTTGGACTTTAGGCTTTAGACATGAAGCTTTTGGTTTCAATGCCGCTGCTAGTGCCCTGCATGAAGGGTGAACTGGGGTTGGGAACCCTAAACCTTTAACCGAAGGGTCAGGAGCTGCAGCTGATTAGGCTTCCAAGGCCTAGAGCTTGTCGGAAACGTGGGAAGGACGAGGATCCCAGCAACGAAGGCCACGACGAGAGTGCCGGCGAGGAGGAGGAGGCACTGCGTGATTGGCTTCTTGCTAGGAGCTCGGGCAGCCCGGGCTTGGTTGCTAGGCTAGGCTCTACAGGCTTGTCTCCCATCGCTTGTATTTCGACGATGTAACTGAGTTTTCTGCTCTCCTCGTCGGCGTTGCCAGAGTTTCCTAGAGACTTTGTGAGTGCGTCCTTGACAGACCGGGGCTTGTCACACAAGGGTCTCCTTCTGGCGATCTCTCAATGGTGATTCCTGAACGGCAAAGGCTACTGTTGCGTTCCTGGCTCGTTGCACGCGATCAAAGTTCCAATCCTGACACTGCCGTTGCCATAAGCGTACTGCTTGCTTCGATTGCCGTGCCGACCCAGCCTTGCTTTTCCTTCTATCTGGTTTTGTACAAAGCCTTCAATCAACTGTTCCTATCACGGTTGCGGTTGTTGACACTAGAACTTGCCTCATGCAAAAGGACGCACCTGCAAGCCAACATGCCCCTAAATAATATCTTCGCCTTTTCGTCATCTGTTTTGTGATCGTTAGCGCCGACTAGTACCAGAGGCAAAAGTAGCAGCCGAGGTAACAGTAGGAATTGTGTTGATTAGTCCTATTCAGAGTTGTATGATGGTGTCGTGGTAGCAGCAGTAGTGGTAGCCGTAGTAGTAGTAGTAGTCGT